GCCGTGAGTCGCTGGTGACGGCATAGGCTGTAGCCCCTGCTGCAGTGGGTTGCCATGGGCTACTGTATGTAGCCAGCAGCCAGCGTGAGCAGCCAGCAGTTGCAGTGAGCGGCTGTCCAGAAGCCAGTGACTGATCTGCCTCACCCGGGAAGAGCACAATGATGGTGCCAACTTGGGTCAGTGAAGCAACGTCCACCACAACTAGACTGAAGACTAAAACGACAGCAACTTGTCTGTTCCCCTTCCCCCAATTCTCCAGCATTGTTCCCATCCCCCCAATTCCCCAATAAAAATCTTAAAATAAATAAATAAATAAATAACCTGTTTGTAAATTGCTGGTTAGTAACTAGAGGTGAAATTGAAATACTAGACATCATTAGTCTAATCCTGAGTGTCTTGAGAAAATAGATTTCGTTGAACTGTCTTTGAACCAGTTTACACATTAGTTTTCAAAATATTATAAGTTATAATTTTTCACTCTTCTTTCAGAGCTGTTGTGTCCCTTAGGCTACTTGTTTTTGATAAGGCTTCTTACGATCATGGGTGGACTTTCTGCTCCAGTCTTCCAAGAATGACCCATGTATTTCTAGACTCACCGCCACAGTCATGTTATCTATGAACTTTGGGGACTAATTTGCATTTGAAACTGATAAAAATTAAAACCCAAGCAGACCATGGCATGCCATTCCATGAATATTGAATGTGGAAGGCATATCTTGCTTGATCTATGGTTATCAGTCTTGGACTGAAAAACTTCGAATGAGACTTAAATTTTCCTTTCCTTATATAAATCAAATCAATTGGATCACCAGTGTACTGAGTTTCCTTGTAGCCTTCAGCAAATGACCTGAGCTGATAGTGTCAGCTAGGATTCAGTAAATTGCCTAAATCTTTGTTTGTGAAGATTTATAGTTCACATGTAATATGATCTAAAAGAGAAATCTTTTTATTTTTGTTACATGTGGGTACATACCACCCGTCCTACCAACTCACATGCAGACTAGTCATTCAATTTTTTGTAAGCAGGCACTGAGACATTACACAAATGTCTTACTGTACCAGTTGTAAAGCTTTTACAGGGCAATGTGTTATTTTTCAGAAGCAAACCAATGGTGAGTTTCTCTAGTTACAGCTTTCTCTAGTAGCAATTGAGGAAAGGATCTTTTATACATTTAAAATAGATAAAAAATAAGACAGATAGAATATTTTTTCATTTTAAACCTTGTATCTAGTATCAAACCATGTACAGGATAAATTAAATCTCATTAAATGGCATGGAATAGGCATCTTTTAGTCTAATTCCAGGTATTAGATAATTTTTCCTAATAGTTACCTCAGCATATTTCTGAAGAGATTGAGAAATGTGCCCAAAGTGTACGATCTAGTGTATGTGTGTTCATGGAGATGGGCTAAGAGAAAGAGTTGTGGAAACAGAGGATAAGTGAGAGCAACAGAAGAAGACGAGACAATTACTGTTCATCTTCGCTTATGGAGTTTCATTTATGTAAGAAAAGACACAATTGCACCCTTTTCCGAATTGTCTCTACTGCCATGGTCATTGTCCTCTGTTATTAGCATACATTATTTGACTTGAGCAGGTGGGTGGTGAATGAGAAGACTGCCCCCCAGGCCCATTTCGGAACGTATCTGTGCAGTGTGCCAGCTGCTGGTCTTTGAGGGGCCGCTCTCTTGTTCTCCCATAGCATTCTCCTCTTTAAAATGACACTAATATGAGTTATGGTGAGAATCCAGTGATACAATTCATATAAATCCTTAGCACAGTACGATTGATCATAATAACTCAATAACTTTTAGTTATTGTTATTCCCAGACCAGTCCCACCATCATTGCAGTGTCCCACACTGAGGTCTTTTGAGGGGCTGGAGGGCTGTGGCATCTTCCTGGTAGCACAAATCAAATACAAATCTACCATCTGTTCTCCATCATTCTTTGACAGTAGTGTTGCCTGGGAAACAGTTCTTTCATCAGAAGTGGGAGAAGTTGAAAGCACACCAAAGAAAAACAAAGGATGAGAACTATAAGGGATTTATAAAGTGAATATAAATGCAGGTATTTTATTTTTAAATTAGAAGAACAAATTTTACTAAAAACAGTTTTTTATTACATAGACAAATGACATTGATTACAAATTCAAGGAGGCATTCTGGAGTGCTTTCTGCAGGTTCTCCCATGAAGTAACTTTTTTTACCTGATAAGTAGGTGATACAGAGAAAGAGAATGAGGGAGCTGAGTCTGTAAGAGATGCTAGAGTCAGGCACAGTTGGGAGTAAGTCAACAATTCAATCACGTGACCATTCCCAACTCCATCACTTTAAGAAAAAAAATGTATATTATCTCACGGATTCAAGAGACAGTGACTGCTTTAGGAGGGACTAATAATGGTATTAAAAATAATAATATAGCAATAGCTGGAGTACACTGAATAAAATTTGGAAATACAGAAAATGAAAACAAACACAATTTCCTAACCTGAAAATTAGGGTTAATATTTAAGATTATTTCATGCTAGTCTTTTCTCATTTTATACAATTTTTGAGTATGTACATACTCACATACACACACATTTTAATGTAATGCTTTTTTAACTTTATATTTTGTTCAATGAATTTTCATGTTTTATTGCTACTTAATTTGTTATTTTTAAAGACTGATGATATATTTTTTTCTAAACAGTCTACCAAGATTGTTATAGACAATGAAAATACACAAAAGTAAGACAAAGTTTTTATATTTTTAACACAATTTTAGGAAATACCTGTACTTCTCAACATCCCAACTAATTATGTGAGACTTAAATATGCCATGTAATTGGAAATATTTTATTATGTCAGGATTGTTCAAGGTCAGTCATAGAAATTCTATTCTCTTGAGGCCCTAGGATGAGAGTAAAATAACACTGCCCTTCCTGAGGCAGAATATTTGGACTCTGTACTCTTGTTTCCTCTTCACCCCTTCTCTTCTGATTTCTTTCTTTCTTCTTCTCTTTCTTTTCTATTGGAGCTTTTCAGACTTAATTGACTGATGAGAAGTGAAATGCAGCCTTGGGGGCTGGGTATGTAAGCCATAATATTCTCAAGTGAACTTAATAACTTTTGTTGGACTATAACAAAAACTAGACAGTCCAGACCAAGACTGGTGAGTCAGATGCAAAGACACTCAGCAACCACAAAATTTACACAACAAGCCCCTTATCTGAGTGACATAGGCAGCACCTTCCTCCTAGATAAAAATGACCAGCCTAATGCATCACCTTATTGCCCTCTAAAAAACCCGGCCAAGCCTACATCTATCCTAAGCCACTCCGTAGCTCTCTGAGGTTGCAGCTGTCCTCAACACCTGTGTGTGCTCCATTGCCCCAGCCAGCTGCATGACCTTTAGGGTAGGCTTCAGGTCAGACCATCCTTGGCAGGTGGTCCAATTATCTGCACCATACTCTTTTCAAGCACTTCCCCTGTTTAGAGGCATCTATAGGGTCTATAGGAATCTCTTCTAACACATTTTGTTCACCACTAGGTACTGGATTGAATGATGGGCAATGGCACTCTGTGTCCTTGTCTGCTAAAGGGAGTCATCTGAATGTGATGGTGGATGGTGCGGCAGCTTCCATGGCCCATTTCCTGAGTGGGCAGATTGATCTGGGCGACAACTATTATTTGGGGGGTAAGTGAAAGGAACGGACTCTACGGGTAATCAAACCTCTTTATTGTTCTAGCTCCTACCTTCTCAAGCAACTGGAAATTTTAAATGAAAATTAAAACTGAAGGGTGATTTTTCTTTTTCGGATATAATCAGTGGGAATGTTGAGTGGACAAAGATGATAATTAGGGCCTAACGTGCAAGTCTATCTGGTGACCTTGTTGGAACATGCATAAAATACAAGGTTGGTTTTAACTTCGGGACTTGTTTTCAATTAGGCTGCACACTGCCGTCACCTGGAAACCTTAAAAAAATGTTGGTGCCTGGCTCATCCCAACAGATGCTGATTTAAAAGGTTCTGAGGCCTAGGCAACAGGTGTCTTAATGCTCTGCAGGTAGTTCTGTTCAGGCATGTTCAGGGTCACGTTCTCTATTTCTCCCTTTAGTACTTTGCTACAGAAAATTACCCTAATGCCAGGTGACCCTTATAACCTTTCATCAGTGTGTATCTGCCAATTTCATTGCTGCATGTGGGAGTTCTTCTCTTGTATGTTAGCTCTTTTTCTGCCTCCAGCCTGGCTACTCAGGGTGTGCTCCATAAGCCAGCAGCACCAGCATCAGCTGGAAGCTTGTTAGAAATGCAGACACAGCCTCCCTGACCTCCTGGACCAGAATCTGCATTTCACCAAGATCCCAGGTGGTCTGTTGCACTTTAAAGTTTAAGAAACATTCTATTCCTGCTGTCTGTAGAGAAGGGCACCATTATTTACAACAGAGGGAGACTGGTTAAATGGCTGTTAATGCTTATTGATGCATTTGACCAAGACCACCTGGCCGTCTGCCCTGGACTGCAGGACATGCAGTGTTTACATGTTCAGTGGACCTTTGATCCAGTCCACCTGGGACCCCCTCAGCCTGGGAGGGGAGCTCCTGAGGGTAGTGAGTCTCCATCCCTCAGGCATTCAAGTGAGAAACTCTGTGCCCGTGGAAGCTTAGAGCAGTAGTAGGCAGACTTATTTCTAATCTTGGCTCAGGTTCACTGCTGCATGGTTTTCGATGCATATTATACCACATTTTACTTATCTATCCCACTATCTCATTTTGTTCTTGATAAACATTTTGATTGTTCCCAGTTCTTTTTTTGCTATTGTAAAAATGTTATAAATATTTTTGTACACCTAAGAGTCATCTTGTCAGTAATTTTTAAACTTTCCTTATGCACAAACTATCTGACTTTCCTAATATGTTTGGTCAATTAGTGAAACAGCAGTCATGTACTGTAGTTTCAGTGGTGTGTTCTGACTGTTAAGTTAAATGAGTGCCCGAGAATACACAGCAATCACATTGCCCGTGCATGTAGATCCAGCCTCGGGCTCCACTAACATCTGTGAAAAGACCCCAGAGATCTGGGGCAATGCATTTAAAAAGGCATAATAGACCTTTCTAAGTATTTTCATAAAATTGTGTTGATGTGTAGGAAAACTATCCTGTCAATATAGTTTCCAATAAGAAGCAGTGTCTCTAAGATGTGTGGAACTACAAAGTTTAAGCATCTCATGAGAGAGCAGAGTGACTTTTTTTCATTACGGCTTTTCTGTTGCAATTATGTATTGGCACTGAGTGGCAAAAATGGTGTGAGCAATTGTAATCATAGCACTTCATGCCCAGCTAAAGTATAAATTAGAGTAACCTCTATTTGCATAGCTGTAAATACCCAATTGATATCTACAGAACAATTACAGCTACTGATTCAAACTTAGTCAACTATACATCTTACACCAACATAAAATTTATTTTCCTAGGGAAAAAAAGTATACTATTTAAAAAACGCAAGTAATGCCTTCACAAGGCTAAAACAAACAAACAAAATCAAAACACTTAGATTTACTGAGGTTAAAGAAAAAGGTGAATATTATTTTTATTCAAGAAAAACCAGGAGAGGCAGGTATAGGACCAGTGGACATGGAGTTCTGGTCCTCAAAATATCTCTTACATGCACAAGTTTTATGCCCAGGTCAGGACTCCCTTCTCACAGCCCCGTTTCCATACTGCATTGGACTTTCCAGCTCTCTTCTGTAAAATGGAGCAAGACAGCTGCAGCTTAAGTAGAAGCTCCACTCCGAAAGCTTCAATATCAGGGTTATTTTATCCAATCCCAGGAGCACTCTGTGTCAGTGTCTCTGTTGGTTTAATCATCTTCTTAATTAATGTCCATCAGTACCAGAACATGTATGATGTTGACAAGGAAATTCACTTTATTCCATCCATGCTCTGTAGCAATATTGGGACTAATAAAATAAGTATTCCTGGGTCCTCTAGTTAAAAATCGATTAATGATATTTAATTTTCAGGAAATCAATACCCTATGTTCTGAGACACTTCTCCCCTTTACTATTTCTGTTGATGGAAGTTCAACTGCAAGTTCCCAATTATCTTATAAATTTTGTTTCAGTGCCTTACTATAAAAACTGACTAGTACATATTATTATTACAGGTAAAATGACCATATTATCTATTGTCCAAACCAGGACACTTAAGTGAATAAAGCAAATGATGTCAGTACTTCTGACAGGTAGCAGGCCATATGGAAGTCTATAGTCTGTTTTGGTCTGGCAGCCTCAGAGTGTAGCTTTCTTACCATGAGAGGGTCCACCTACAAAATAGCAGCATTTTTATATGTCCCACAAGAACTCTGTGATTTATATCCTTCTCTTTCTCTCTCTCTCTCTCTCTCTCTCTCTCTCTCTCTNTCTCTCTCTCTCTCTCTCTCTCTCTCTCTCTCTCTCTCTCTCTGTCTCTCTCTCTCTCTTTTATCTTCTCCTTTTCTCAGTCTGAGCTTTCTTTCTTTTATTTTTTTCATTAATTGTTCTTCCAATAGCAGTTTCATTATAATGTACTGTACGCAGATTTTCGGTGCCTGCTATTAAGGGCAGTGGAAAACTAAGCCTTAATTAATTCCCTTTTATGTAATCTTGTGCTATTCAATAGTATCTTTGCACCATACAATTGCAGAATATTAAATTATGTGTAGAATCCCCCAAGTGTTTTTGTATGAAGCATTAGCAGGCCAGGGAACCTATGATCACTTTGTAATAAAGTCTCACCTGATGACCCATTTTGGTACAGTGACATGAAGTGACAATTTCCCTGTAATCCTCAGAGATACATAAACTGCCCAGTTCTTCAATAGTAATGGATATGTTTCATTAACTTAGCAGTAAGCATTCACTGTCCACTTACACTCTCCATCCCAAATCGGTCATCGATAAGTCACCCTCTGCCATTATGCTATAGGACTTGAGGGTCATCTTCTCAATGAATGAATGAGCATCTCCTGGCCTGAGCTTGTGCAGGACAATGGTCCTGTTTGCTTCTTGATATCTCTCTCATAACTAGAGAAGTGGTTTCACTTTTCCTTATTTAAAGTTCCAGTTTCATAAAGTTTTCCTTGTGACTACTGGATTTGGTTTTGTTTTGTTCCTAACAGAAATAGTAAGATACTACATTGTATTTTGGATGATTTTGAGGCTTGTGATCTGGAGAAAAGCAAGATAAGCAGAAAAAGAATAATAGCGATTCCACAAAACTATTTATTGACTTAATGTTCTGCATTCTTTATCCTAATGTTCTGAGTTATCAAGTGCTATGAATAGAAGTTGCCTATAAAGATATGTCAAGTTTCTTCCAAATATATTCAACCCTTCAGAAATTATCTTACAAATTGAAAATGGTAAAGGAAAACTGTAGTATTAAATAGTTCTTTACAATGTAACATTAAATTTGAAACATCAAACACTCTTAGGGTTTAATTTATGAGGTTTCATTGGGCCCAACAATGGTTTTAACTTGATGTAGGCCTTGACTTGTTTAGAACTCTGTTTGTCAGAAATACAAAGCATAAAAGCCTCAGGCACTGAAAAAAAAGTACCAGTAAAGATAAACTATGTGCATTTTATGAAAATTATTAGATAGAAACCTGGCATCCATTATGCAGGAATAAAAACAAGTTGGATCTTTTCTTCCTGTTCTTTGGAAGTGCACCAGTGAATGGACAACAAAAGTTCAAAGAAAGATGAACGAAAAACACATAAAAGTACACTGGTCAAACATTTACTTTATAAGATTATTTATTCAATTTGATTTTAAAAATAAGAACCTTATCAAATGACCTCAAACCCCAGTCAGCACATATTAATGTGAGAATGATTTAAATGATTGGAAAATATAAAGCAAAAAGATGAGTAATTAAGACATTGTAGAGTTTTGGGGTCCAAAATGGGAGATTAGGTAAACGCTATGCCTATTGCATCCCAGGATCACACCAAAATTACAAATAAAGTATAGAGCAATCAACCTCAAGAATCATCTGAAGACTAGCCGAATAGAACTCCTATAACTAAGAATAAAAAGAAGAGGCCACATCGAGACTTGTAGTAGGGGCAGAGATGCAAAATGGGCTAACCCCAAACCTACAGATAGTGGTTGAACACTGGGAAGGACACCTCAATGGTGGAGGTCCCCCCAGAAAATAAAGGGGTTCCAGCCACACACCAGGCTCCCCAGCCCAGGGGTCCTGTGCCAGGAAGAGGAGTTCCCACAACATCTGGCGGTGAAAATCAGTGAGGACTCTGTCTGTCCATCCCAGTGAAACAGAAGGTGGCTGGAAACCCAGGTGCCCTCTTAAAGGACTGGCACATAAACTCACTTCCAAACACTCACATGGTGGAGGGGTGGCAACTCAAGAGGCACCAGAGACATACTGGGAAAGACTGGGTTGTGTGGCTTCTAAGTGAGGGCTAAAGGTACAGCAGCCATTATCTCTGTGTGGAACCTGCCTCATGTGTAAGACTATCAGCTGATTTCTCAACAAAAATGGTGCAGGCCAGAAAAGAGTGGCAGGAAATATTCAAAGTGGTGAAAAACAAAGGTCTGTAACCAATACTGCTCTACCCAGCAAGGCTATCATTTAAAATTGAAGGACAGATAAAGAGTTTCTCTGACAAGAAAAAACTAAAGGAATTCAT